TGGGACACAACAACCCTCATCCTCTGTGGGACACAACAACCCTCATCCTCTGTGGGACACAACAACGCCTCAGCAACACACCAACCACCCCAACGTGCTGTAGCTGCTTAAACCTGAGACTGAGCCAGAGAGAGGGGAGTTTAAAAACCCCACTGAAACCCCAGGCAGGGCCCTCCAGCATCCATGGAAAGGGGCTTTAAAGGAGTGACAGGGCAGCTGCAGCAAAGATCCTTATTTTAAGTCTTGAACACTTCAGTGTCCTTTTGCAGTTAATTTGTAGCTATTTCACTTCAACTCTCTTCTTTCTCTATGTAAGTCTAATTTAAGGATAAATGTGAAGGGTTAGTGTGGTGTTGGGGGTAAATTACTGCTCAAGCATATAACCGAATATAGACTTTTGGAGAGGAAAGAGAAAGGATCATGCTAGGTAAGACTGTTCTTGCACAGTCACTGTACCAGCTGAACACATATTCAGAGAGCAGAAATTGGACATCAATGTTCTCTAATTCATTTACTCATTGTGTTTTCTAGGGACAGGAGTTTTATTATATAAATGTAATATTAGACCCATAGCTATCTCACATTTAGTTATACCTTTTTACCCAAAACTAATGTCTCCTCACATGCCAAAAATATTGTAAATGGACTGTCTACACTGTATTTAGAGATACCTGTACTATTATAGTAATATGTCAATGCCTTTTTAGTTGTATCTTATAAAAACCATTGCATTTAACTCCTTTTTGTTGGAAGATGACATTCACTGGGATTATTATGAGGATTAGGGGATTATTATGATACCTGTAATTTACTGGGTATTTTTTGGTACATTTAGCACATGAAAAGCACTGGTCACATCTTTATTCTGAACATGTATTTTGAGCTGACATCAGGTTAAACCAATGTCAACATGATTTTGAATTTTATAATTATTTACCTTAATCACTGTCAAGTTAATTAGAGAGTTTTAATGAATTCTAACGGAGTGATCAAGTCAAATGCTGTTATTTCTTCAAATATTGAAACACATTTGACCTTGGGTAGCATTACAAGTGTTGTGCACATGGAGCTTGTTCAGCAGAGGCAGGGAGGGCTCCAGGGGATGGGGGCCCCAGCAGAGACTCTCTGGTGAAGGATGTTCTGCCTCACTCCAAGGACACAGCACCTGCAGCTCCAGCTGGAATATCATGAGAGGGACTGCTGTGTGTCTGCATGGGTAGGGAACCCTTGGGAGGGCAGTGCAGCTCCACCTGTGCAGGATCCCAAGATCCTGCACAGCTCCGTTCACAGCAACAATGAAAAAAATGGCCTGATTTTTCCCTTATTTTTTAGTTCTGGTTTACACTCAGCATAAGTTAATGCAATTTTCATTCCAGTGGCATTCAAAGTGCCTAATTTATACGTTATGGTGTTCAATAATTTATTGCCTGAGCAGGAACAAAGCTTGGTTCCTGCAGTGTTGCTCTTTAATTAGAGGATGAACGTCTGTGTTCCTGGCAATCCTTACACTGCACGAACCCAGGGATCAGCAGCACTTGCTCTCTGTGAGGCACAGCCGAAACAAAGGCAGACTTTATTTGCAACCTGTGATACCTTAGGAGGGAACCTTTTTTATCCCTATTTCTTTTCCTGCCACAGGAGTTCCAAGGGGTAACAATCAGAGCTCCCAACCTGTGTGGCAGCTGTGAGAACCGACCCCACACCGCTGCGGGTTCCTCGGGAGCTCCACAAGGTCTAATCCAGTAAATGAACTGCAGCATCTGGCACAGCAGACACTCAGATGAGGCTTTTGAACGTGGAGGAAGAGGCATGTGAATCTCAGCTGGGCTTCAGACCAAAATAGCCAAGGTCCTTGTAATGGTTTTTGGTTTTCTTCCCCCCACGCAAGGGAATGTCCTCCCCTCCCACTGAACGAGGGCACAAAAGAGAGGAGCTTTGACATCCCCCTTGGAGAATGAGATGGCAGGGCTGGAACCCAGAGAGGAAATGGAAAACTTCTCATGCACCTCTTTTAACAGAAAGCCAGGATTTTACGAAAATTCTTTTACTAAGCTGATATTTAAAAAAAATATTCTGCCAGTAAAATCATAGAGTACTTTATTTTTTGTGATATTTAGGCATTTATCTGTAAACTGCCTAATGCATAATATCTTAATTCCATTGATGCAAGTGCTCTTCTGCTCTAAGAAATTTATGTTTATTAAAGGGTGTGTATAGAGATACAAAAAATAGAATTCATTCTGCATCTAGATTAAGTAATTATTTTATTTATCTAGTATACCTAGGTCTAATTCTGGATGTTCACACAATTTTTTTTCTTTGTTCAGCTCCCTGAGTTAGTTTTCTTTTCGGCCTAACTAGCCCTTTTTTATTTGATGGAACAGTTTTCTCTGTTTTTAAATCTATAACCCCACAATTTATTCGTATGAAAAGTTTTTGCTAGAAAGCTCTTTGCACGTGAAATATGGGTAGCTTAGTTTAACGTGGAAACTGTCTTTGAGTCAGCAAAGTGCGTGATTTGATAAGAATACTTGTGGAAGCAGGTTTACTTTCTACGTCTAACCAGATGAAGAACGTGCTGCAACTTTAATTGTATTTACATCACTATTTTTCATGTTCCCAAGCAGCTGCTTGCCAGCTCTATTCAATCCACACCTAAAGTCCGATTTTTTATCACTAAAAACAGCTCCAGTCTGCAGGAAAGATGCCTTGTAACTTAGAGTTATTGCTGGGTAAGTACTTTTGTGGTCCTTGAACTTGATGCGTCCAAAAACATAAATAAATAACTGAAGGGAAGCCAAACTGGGCAATGTTATGCCAGTAGTTAGTGCTAAACAGGTTGGGCCTTTCCAGAGTTACTGGAGCAGCCAGGATGTTTCCAAGGAGTGTGGCTGTACAGAATATTAACTGCAAATAGTTTCCTTGGAAATTATTTTAACTGAGGTCGTGAGTTTTTATTTACAAAGAAATGAAAACTTTGTACTTTTAAGCCAGGAAAAAAAGTTTGGGTGAGATGACTCATATGGAAAAAAAGCAGTTTTAAATCATAGCTCTAAGTAATAAGTTCAGCCTTTTATTAAATATATAATTATGTGGGAGTGAGAAATAGAAATCTGGGATACAACCTTTTATCTAGGTCTAAGATTTCAAGATTCACTAGGACCAGTTTGTGGTTTGGGGGTTTAATATATTAGTTTTTCTGCTGCTGTTTTTCCCAGTGGCTGAGGAGGGGCAGTGGTGTGTGCTGGGGGTGTACCGTGCTCAGCAGTCCCGGCTCCTCCGGCGGGGGATCCGCGGCTCTGCCGCCCCACGGGACAGCGGGTCCCTGCACCCTCCTGCTGCTCCGGGAGGCTCCTCTCCACCCCCGACCTGCAAAAACAGGGCAGAGCAAGGTGGACTGGGAGGAAATCTGGAAAACCAAACAACCAAAGGATTTCAGCTGTTCTTCTGATACTAAGAACTGAAGAGTACTCACAACTTTTAGTTCAATTTACAGAATCCCAGAATGTGCTGAGCTGGAAGGGACCCACAAGGATCATCCAGTCCAACCCCTGGCCCTGCACAGGCCCATCCCCAGAGTCACCCCCTGTGCCCCAGAGGATCAGCCAAACCCTCCTGGAGCTCTGGCAGCCTTGGGGCTGTGCCCACTGCCCTGGGGAGCCTGGGCAGTGCCCAACCAGCCTCTGGGGGAAGAACCTTTGCCTGAGATCCAACCTGAGCCTGCCCTGACACAGCTCCAGCCATTCCCTGGCTGCTGTCCCTGGTCCCCCCAGAGCAGAGCTCAGTCCCTGCCCCTCCTCTGCCCCTGCCCAGGCAGTTGGAACTGCACTGAGGTCTCCCCTCAGTCTCCTCTGCTCCAGCTGAACACACCAAGTGCCCTCAGCGTCCTCCCACGGCTTCAAATCAAGGCCCTTCCTCATCTTCATTGCCTCCTTTGGACGCTCTCCAGTGGCTTCAGATCCTCCTTACATTATTTAAAGACATTAGAACCTCTGTATGGAACATCTGCACTGGCCATCACCCCTCCCTGCCCCCTGGCAGTGCCGTGGCAGCGGGTGCTCTGTGTTCACCGTGGGCACTCAGCACCCACGAGGGCTGGGGCAGAAATCCTGCACCTGCTCCCTTGGGCTCAGAAATGCCAGGCAGTTTTGACCCAAGTCATCTGAGTACTGGAGGTGACTCAGTGTCAGACTGAGAAGTCAAAAAGAATGATCCAGAAGCAGTGACACACCTGGAGACCAGCGAGGTACAGGTAAGAACCTCTGGGCAGAGCTGGCACCTCCCTGGAGATGGTGTCTGTCACCCAGCGCAGTCAGAGGATGTCACACCCCGGGGGTTTACAGGAAATGGCTTTCAGGGGGTGATACACAGATCAAGTAATGGAACTGATGAATTTGAGCCCTTAAACGTGCCAACAAAACCTATTTTGAAAATAGTGATTGAATTCAGAGAAGGACAATGGTTGACCTGACTGAGGAACTTCAGGTTACCCAGCTGGACACCGCTGGGGCAGTGCCTTCCAGGAGGTTCAGGGTAACTCCTGTCAGAGGAAAGACTCACAATATATTTACGTGTAGTAGAGTTGACAATGTTCTACCTCAATCCACAAAAGACCTAAGCATGTAAGAGAGTACAAATCACTGAGTGTAGTGCAATGGAAACTCTTACTGTGCATGAACCAAAATCTAATGACATAGAAATTTTCTAACAATTTAATAAACTATTTCTTTTGGTGTGAAATGCAAGTCATGGTGAGTCCACTGGAGCTAATACTCTCTTTTTATGAGAGTACATTTGGCTTGGTTCAGTTTGGCTCCCCTACCTAGGGATATACTGAGGGGGCGTATTGATATTTTAGAGGGAATGTAATGGAAGCAAACAATATAGCTGACAAAGAAAATTAATTCTATGACTCCTATTTACATGCTAAATAGTAAATAAAGTCTATGAAATTGAAAGGCAACACATAGTGCTGAATTTATTCTAAAGATTTTGGGTTTTTTTCACACAATATACATAATATGCTCCTTATTTCCATAAAATCTTACTGAAATAAGATCTATGGAGAATTTAAGAAATTAGACTTTTATAATATGGTAAGAACCTAATATTGCTGGTAGGGGCTGTTGTGTAGTTCACAAAGAATCTACTTGCAGAAGAAAACAAATCAAATTCAAGAGCTCTGTATTGAATTAGGTTCCTCCAAATTCTTCCTAAGATTAGTTTTGGTCTGGCAAAATATTGAATATTCCTTCTACTTAACACACTAAGTAGTCATCAAAAATGAGAGTTCAAACATTCAGCAAATTGGTCCTGCTGAAACAAGTTGTATAACATGACCTTTTGTACAAATCTTGTAAATCCTTCCTTTAGGTGTTGTAACTTGTAAATTCAGCTGCAGCCAGAAACAGGCCTGAGCTGTGCAACAGAGCAGCTGATGCTAAACTAGAGATCAGTATTGCAGAGCTTTGGTTTAATCCCACACAGCTGCTCCTGCAGAGCCACACCAGTGCTGGTTCCCTTGTTGCCTGTGAAAGTACATGAAGTAAATAAGATCATGAATTTAACAAAAGAGTCAGTATTTGAAAACATCAGCAGGGAAACCAGCACTCACTTGACCCCCCCGAGTAGAACTGACTGCATGAAAAACCAGTGACTTACTGCATTTGCAATTTATGGCATTATTTAGCTTAGCAACAACTGGATTTCCTGTAAAGCCAAGGGAAATAGCAATCCCCAGAATGGAGCCTGGACAGTCATTCCAGCTCCATTAGTTCTGGAAAAAGTCATTATGGAACAGTGCCCAAATGAAATGCACTGTTAAGCTTGGGCATTCACAGTGGGGGCTCTGGGAAGCATCAGAGCTCTGGACAGCTACTGGGGGACATTCCTGCCACAGGAATATTACATTTCATTGTTTTGAAATGTGCTGATTTCCTTCATTGTGGAGACAAACATATTTTTGGGTCCGGTACTCAATAAGAATCCTTTATTATTTCTTGAGCACCCTAACTGGTATTTAGCAGATTGCTCTCTTAGTTTTGAGCTGCAGCATAATTTAGATCTGTTTGGGTTTCAGAGATTCCCAGAGATGACATTTCAGTGGATATTCATTGTAGTTATGGAGCTGGTTAAGATTTTAACCTATAAAATACTGAGAATATTCAAGTATCATGAAAATCTTCTCTAGCAAGTGTGGGTAAAGGTGTGATGTTTAACAGGAGATGTGCTGGTGGTATTGACTTCTGACATCTGGTAGCCTGGTGTCGACTGATGTGCAGTCTGAGGAACATTAAGTTTGGTGGGACAAAAAAACCCCTCCCATATAATTCAGGACTTAGAACAGCAAACTCCCTCTACTTAGATGACATTCAAGGTAAACCTAAATATTAACTGTCACTTCTCTGTTGTCCTTATAAGGGAAGTTGATGAAATACAAAGTAAAAACTTACTATTCTGTAGTAATTATCTTGAGAGGACTCGTCAGCTCTCTCCTATGTGGAGAAACTAAGGGAGCCACACAGATGGTGTGTTTTGTTGAGTCTCTGCCCAATATATGGATTAAAGACAGCCCTGTCTGTCTACTCTGGAGATATTCATCTGGGAAACTGGAAAGAAATGTATGTTTTCAGCCAAGGCTTTCAGCCCCAGGTGGCACAGGCTCTATCCTTCGCATCAAATCACACTGTGCTTTAGTTTCCCCAAGAAGAAATACAACAAAGTCAGTGTCCCTTACACCTAAGCAAAAAGAGAGACGAAGATACAGCCTTCTCTTCTTGCCCCACACATGGAAATTGTTTCAAGGTGTTCAGGAAAGGGGCAGACTTTAAACGTGTGTGAAGGAACACGAGGCCAGGCAAGCTGGAATTTCAGAACCAGATAAAAATGAAGGGAAACAAAGCAGCAGCAGCATGAGTAGATGTGGAAACTTCTAAAACCCAAGGGATTTTGTATTTGATCAACTAAAATACCATGTCAAGGATCCGTTGGAAGCAATAAAACTGGAAATTTGTTGGTTTGGTATGTCTTGCCAGGAGTCCAACATTTATTCACGGCAGTGCCCAGGGAAGGTGGCAGGAAGGGACAGCACCAACAGCCTGGTGACAGAGGTAAAGGGAGGGGCAGTGTCTATGCAATAGAGTTCCAAAAGAGGGATCTATAAACACAGGTAATTTTCATTTGCATCACCCAAATCCAGTTTAAGGCATTAATCTGCCAAGTTTGGTGCCAAAGATCAAGAGGCAGAGCTGGAGGTGGTTTTGTCTGTACAGAAATTGAGAGGGGCGAAGAGGCTGCTAATGCTGCTCATGTAGCAAAGGCAAAACTTGGCATTTCTTTAAACTAGAGCTAAAAATTAGATGGATTGAAGAAGATTCTAATCAGAAATATCACACAGTACAAGAACAGCATTAAGGATATTAATGGATCTTTGCTGTCTATTGGAAGAAAGAGGCTGTTTCCATCTTTTAGTTTTGCCATGACATAGGATCCTACATCCACTTTGGAGGATATTTCAAATTTCTGACTGGATTTCCTCTGGTTTTTGGTCTTTAAAGCAGATGAAACCACACAGTACAGAAGGTTTAATTTCCAAGGGCTACTTAGGTGCCGTTGTTGGAGCACACAGGATTTCATCCTCCTTCTCAGGGGGTGGAGTCATGGTGGTGCTCTTTGGTAGCAGAACAATGAAACACCCCATTTCCCCATTTCTCATCATGTGATTTAACCACTAGGCCATCTTTTTCTATCTGGGAGCTCTTTATTTTCTTTAGTGCCAAATCTGCACTCTTAATTTTCAAGTGACAGAGATTTGGGGATTCAGAGAAGAGCATAACAAGAGGGGCCAAGGCTTTGGCTGTCATGGTAAATGCTGAAGGGAGGAATCCTCACTCACTCTTAAACACAGGTTTAATTATTTTCTCATTAGTATTCATACAGCATCCAATGGTTCTTCATAAATGAGAAGAGTGAATAAACAGCACATTTGTTTAGGGCAAAGATCAGAGGGGGGAGCAGGGCTGGAGGTGCCTGGGAAGGGTTTGTGTCAGCGTGGGGAGGCTTCTATGGAGACAGGCAAAGAGCCCCCATTCATCTGGAGCCTTTGTGCTGAGCATAAAGGGCAGCCTAGGGAAGGAACAGTGAAGGGGGGAGAGTTTGAAAAGTACTGGACCTTAAAGTAATGTCCATGACTAACTGGCTTTTAATTGGCTCTCCTGTATTGTTATGGAAACATCCAACTGCAGCAAACCCCACCTGCCTCTGGTGCCAAGCAAATCTTGAACTTAAATAATTCCTGACTAATCATAAAGTAACTCCAAGGAATTATTAACTTCACCTTCACAGGCCTTTAACTCATCTCTTTTAGAGAC